AATTTACCATCCCTTTCTTGTTAACGTTATTTATTGTAATATTATTTCATTTTTGTTATTGCTTTACTTATTTTGATTGGTCTAATTTAATTTGGTCAGAGTTGATAATTTTCTTCTTAGTTTACCAAACCAAAATTGACATATATTAACTTCAACAATTGAACCAAATAGCCTGAATGACTAACAGTCTCACATTAAGACTCAAGAGTAATGGGCTGAACATGTTATCTTATTTTGAGATGACACTTCAGAGAGAAATTTGAAATTTCTGAATTTATAATAAAAGAACTCTCCTTTTTCTCTCTCTGGATCCCTCTAAATTTCAAACTCAGGATTACAATTTTCTCATTCTTGCTATCTCACCTGAACTCATTCTCACTAGATACATCACACATTTTAGTTAGCTAAATACTTGCGGAGGCACTTTAGATGTGGTGTTCGGTCACACAATAAATGTAAAATGGATATTGCATTTGCACTTTTGATCCATCTTAATTGCAAATAATGCATGATTTGCAGAAGAAAAATGGTCAAACAAACAATTTGTTCGTGATAATGCAAAGACATGTATATATTATAGTGACATCTTGAGCATACTTCATTTTTGAAAGGATTAAAATTATAATTCTTGATCTAAATATTTTGATGCGAGTATTGAATGTCCTTTCACATATGAGAACTTGATAGTGATGGTAAATGTGTCCATTTGCTGATTGGACCACTCCTAGTGTTAGCTAGTGATAATCTCTTTTCTTATGCTTATATTAAAATCTCGATTAATTTCAATGGTGTTGCCACCAGAGGATAAAGAAGAAATCGGTTGGTTTGAATAATGTGACACATGCTTTCTGCTCACCATCCTAAACAAAAAGTCGTGTTTGTTATAAATGCATTCACCATCTGTGTAATACAGAATTCGTGAAACTTTTGCTCATCCTGTTACATACAAGAAATTATAACAATCTCAACATTTATTTTTACGACTCAATCAAAATAAATGAATGCATTATTAGCTAAGACGAGTATATATAAAATATTATAGAATCCATAACATCACGAATTCAATAGTTTTACACCATGAAATCCATCTTCTCAATACTCATAACCTTATTTTTCTTTTCTGAAATTCTCAAAGTGAATGGATGTTGCAAAAAATACCAAGTCATCATAATAAACGCCATAGTTGACCCTCTAAACCTTTCACTTCACTGCCGTTCAACAGATGATGATCTTGGATTTCACCCTCTCCAATTCAAGTCTTATTTTGGCTTCAAATTCCGTATGAACGTTTGGCGAACAACAAAGTTCTGGTGCGAGTTTTGGTGGGGTGATCATAAGGCCAAATATAATGTTTTCACCAGAAAATTGGCCAAGAAATACTGTGGCAAAACTGTTGAGAATGTGCGAACTTGTTATTGGGTAGTCACAAATGATGGGTTTTATATAGCTGATTCTCTTGTTGGTGGAGGATCTGGAGATCCTCATCCTTTGTACTGGATTTATTCATGGTGATTTTTGTGTCCAAACATTTTTCTCCTTGTTTAGTCATTAGGTATAAAATATTTGAAATAAAAGTAACAAAAAATAAATTTACTTTGGTTTTTAAGTTGCTTGTGTCGATCTGATTGTTTGCAAAATCACTTATCCCACATCGAAGTTCTACAGTCTGATATCCTTCGTTATTAATCTCCATTCAATAACTTTTTACTATCTCTGTCTCAAAAAAATAGTCCATATTGAATTTTCATATTTGTATTGTCTTTAATACAAATTCAAAATTCAATGTGGACTATTTTTTTTTGGGACGGAGGGAGTATAATTTTTGTTGTTTGTATTAGTATTTATACCATTTACAGTAACTTTCAAATTATATATCTTACAAATAAGGGTTCATATTTTTCGAATTAGGACAAGTTTTTTTTATTTATTTCATATTTAAAATTTTAATAAAAATAAAAAAATTTGGTAAAAAAAATAGTGATACAAAAAAATAGAATAATAATTTGAATATAATCTAAATTAGAAATATGTGTTCATGGTATATGATTTGTAACAGAGAGTATCACAGAAAAATGACATAATAATTAGCAAAACCTCGAAAGGTTACCAGGTGAAGCTAGACACTATACTACAATCATTTTAAAAAGAGATTATTATACTTCCACGATAGTAATAGTTTTATTTTGAAACTAAATTATCTTTTTAAACGTGAGTTATTCTAATTTGTCATGTCATCTTCAATTACTTCAAAGTTGTACATGAGATTAATGAGTCGAAATAGTTCAAGATTAGTTCCGGACCCAAAACATGGATCGGCCACACAATCCCGTATCACCCTTGCCCCTTGGAAAAAAAATATATTATCAAGAAGCGGAAGGTTTCAGAAAATTTTTGACTAACCAAAGAGATTGTGATAGAGTGGTAAGGACTCCTGTACCCTTAACAATAGGTCGAGGGTTCAAACCTCGCCATGGACATAAAACAACCTTAAATTCTTTAGCTAGCTCTCTTATCCATCAAAGTGCTTACCATGAGCGAGGGGGGTTAATCACTGTGTCGACTGTGAACACTCTATAATATGAGAAAAAAAAAATTAACTTTGTATGTAATCTTTCTGGAAGGGACTTGAGATATGATTATTATTGGATACATTTTCTGTTGAAATTGTCAACCGGTGCGTCTGAATTGGGATTCTGTTGAATTGGGATCCGGGCATCATGATCATGGTGGCAAGAAAAAAAAGTTATTGTAGATAGCTCTTGTTTTTAATATAAAATATTTTGATTGTTTTAAATTTCACTTCATACGTTTTTTTTAATGGACAAAAAAAATCGTAAAAATATATTTTTACATTTCTTACGTTCTCTTGATTATTATTAAATATTTTTAAGTTTTTTTTGCTTAATTAAAAATATACATTAAGTGAAACCTAGGACAAATTAAAATACCTTAATATACCGGAAGGAGTAGTAGATATTTAAATAGTGTGGTTTGAGTGTGAGAGAATTTAAATACACTCAGGTGAGGAAAAATATCGTTCCTACCCAAAACTTTGCCCTTGTCGTCAATTATACCCAACAGATTTTCGGTTAGCCAACTTTACCCTAATGTTTGAAATTTTTGCCAATTTCGTCCAATCCGCCCATTTTCCGTCTTAATTAACGGATCTCCGTTAGTTTTTTAATAAAATAATAAATTTAATTACAAAAATATCCCAGTAATTTTTAAAAATTTTAAAAATAACCCCTAAAATATATAAAAATAACAAAACAGTCCCTTTTCACTTTTTTATTTTATTTTCTTCTATCTTGTTCCATTTCTCTTTAGTACTTTTAATGACCATAAAAGTCTATTATATAAGTTTTAAAAAAATATTTATTTATTTTCAAACTCTACAGTAAAAATTAATCTTTGTATTGTTGTAACCCATGATTGTATTATATAAGTATGTTAATTTTTTTAATAAACTAAATGTTAGTAAGATTTCCTCACATTTTAAACAAAAATCATATAAAATAAGCTAGTAAGACTTCCTCTATAGTAAGATATATTAATATCTGAAATAATTATTACAAAATGTTAAATCCTCACATTGATAAGTATAAACATTTTTTTTATAAATTATATTATGCCATGTAGCCTCTCTAGTTAAATTGTAATACACTAAACTATACTAATATATTATTTTTTATTTGAGCTAATATTTTATTTTTATGTGAAATATTAATTTCATTAAAATATTTTTAATCTTTATGTTAAGAAGAATAAAATAAATCAGAAAAATAGTGTCTTTATTGCTAAACTATATTATTAAAAAGATTAACATGCTTATATAAATACAATCATGAGTTATAACTATACAAAGATTAATTTTTACGGTAAAGTTTGAAAATAAATAAATATTTTTTTAAAACTCATATAATATACTTTTATGGTCATTAAAAGTAGTTGAGAGAAATAGAACAAAATAGAGAAAAATGAAACAAAAAAATGAAAAAAGACTATTTTGTTATTTTTATATATTTTAGGGGTTATTTTTAAAATTTTTAAAAATTACTGGGTGTTTTTGTAATGAAATTTATTATTTTATTAGTAGATCCATTAATTTAGACGGAAAATGGACCGATTTGACGAAATTGGTAAAAATTTCAAACATTAAGGTAAAATTGGCTAACCGAAAATCTATTAGATATAATTGACGACGCGAGCAAAACTTTAGGTAAGAACGACATTTTTTCCCACTCAGGTGTCAGGTTCCGAAAATGTTCAAAAGTAACTCTGAAATGATTTAAACTACATCCTGATATTTACAATATCAAAGCGTTTGCAATCCATCTATTATACAACAAATGAAAATGAAACTGAAAGCCCCTTTAGAAAAAAACACTAACGATTCCTACAAATTATGGAGGAGAAAGAAAGAGAACAAAGAAACTACGGCTATCTTTAAGTCTATTCTGCAAACTGGTTAAAACTAGGCGTAAAACTTAATTGGGAGCACCATGGGGTTGAAAGAGAGAAAAGCTAACTACTGCTGCTATTGAAATATGCCTCATGAAGTCAAGAATTCACATTTTCCAATGTCACTTCCAATTATACACTATTGCTGATTCTCAGCGTTTCAAATCTTCAGCTCAAAATCTGGGCAGTCTTTTAGCTAATCCACAGACTTCTGCAGGCAAATAAAAAACAGGAGTAGATGAAACAAACTGATCTACAAACAGTTACGATAACCATGCATTCAATTATTTAACATTGCCACCAAACAATAACGTGAAACTGGTCAGCAAAGGACTCTCACTTGTCAAAACTATATGATCTCATTGATTATAAAGACAAAACTACAAGGGCAAAAACCCAATCTACAAGACAATCGCATACGTTGAGCACACTACATTCTACAAACATATCACTATCCAAAATACTAGGTGTTAATGGAAAGTCACAAATAAGACAAACTTGCCAGAATGTGCAGTTTTTATCTTATATTTCTAGATTCAATTTAGAAACAGATATGCAGGTTCCACATTCGAATAACAGCATTCCTCTGCCATCTAAACTGTCAAAACAGGAAAAACTAGCACTAACCTCACCCACCCAAGTACTTATTATCTCCCATCATATCCCGCTGGAAAGGAGGCCAAAGTGTGTATAATGCTAATATCATTAGCCAAATGAAAACCATAAAAATGAACTTCTCAAATGCTTGAGACTTCTAACATGCCCAGGTATTATCATGCCAAAAGAGTTCCAATATATCACAAGTACTTCTAAATAGGACATTGCAGAAGAGCAAAATCCATACCTCAGATAATTGGAGTTGAGCGAAAGTAACAGACTCCTTCTAATTCTCAACTGCAACATCTGAGGACTTAAAAAATTTACAAATCACACCTCCCTTAGTCAGCCTGCAACCCTTATTGCACCCATCTCATCAATCTTTGAGCTCTTATGCTGCAATTGTCAAAATTGAGAAAAACCCGTCACGATCAGTTATATGTGAAAATATCAAAATGAGAACAGATGGTGAAACTGTGAAAAAAAAATAAGAAAAAGCTCTGCACGAAGGAAGAAACCAATTGTTTATTACCTTACTTTTCTTGTGCTTGTGTCTGTCATTAATATCTTCATCTCCATCATGCTTCCTTTTCTATAATCATTGAACAAAGAAAATCTTCAATTGGGCAATAATTTAGTTAACCATTTGAAAGATAAGAGACATTAATATCCGCACCAACTTCAAGGTTTTATGTCAAATGACATATTTAGGCATAATGGATCAAAGAAAATTTATCTCAAAGTCAAAGTTCAGATAACCGTGTTTTACTCACGAAAGGCCATCCAGAAGAACTAATACTGCAGTGGCAAACTCATATGTATTTTAAGAACATTCAGAACTGTCTTGTACATAAAGAAGCGCTGCAATGAAGAACAGAAATTACCTTCTCATGATGTTTCTTTGAATGCTCAGCACCTGAGTCATGATGGCCACTTTTTTCTTTCTTTTTCTCCTTATCTTTATCTTTGCTTCGATCTTTATGCCGATGTTTGTGTTTTTTATGCTCCTTGTCCTTTTCCTTGTCTTTATGTTTTTTATGCTTCTTATCCTTGTCTTTAGACTCACTTTTAGACTTTCCAGCTATTGTAGGAATACCCTTCTCCGACTTCAAATACAGCACAAGAAATCAATGCTTGCTTAAAAATTGGGTAAGGGTGTAGTAAAATAAAATAATGAAGGAAACATCGATTTACAAAATGCAATACACCATGGATGCAAAGCAAATGGTCACCACTGAATCAAGTAATGCAGAAATAGTAGAATCTTACAGAAGGTAGGTCAACTGGAGCTGTTTCCCTGAACTGTAAGGCTTCTCTGAGAACATCTAGATCAAAAGGCTGTATCCGTGCATTTGTCTCTCTTGAAAGTGAACCATCTTGGATCAGTTGATCCAATTGCATTCCTTCACCTTTCCTGATTTCTGTGTCTCCCACCACATTGTGAAGATAGTGCGTATCAGAAATGGCCACTGGAAGTGACTTCTTACAGAAATACTCATGCTGCGGCAATAGTTTGTAATAACTTAAAAGGTCGACAGCGCCTGTCAGCTCTCTAGGACCTGGTTTAATAATAGCACCAAACAAAGAAGCTAAGAACAAAGCAAATAAACTATACAAATTGCACCAAGATGTAAACAAGGCTACTTCCATATACTTCAGACACAGTATAAAGTTCACTGCTCAATGCAATGGGCTGATATAAAATTCACTGGTCAATGCAAAGGGTTTATGGAACTCATTAACTAAGAAAATAAATAAATAATCTAGGGGCTGCATAAAAACAGGACACAATGAAATGGAAATTATGTTCAATGTGTTCTTAATAATGATTTATCAAGAGATCCAGAGAAGAGCAATAAGCCAAATCGCTCAATTCACATTCAATTTCCACTAAGTTCTAGTGACCCTGGACTCTACAAGATGTCTAGAAGAAGTATCTAATCATCCAAATCTGTTTAAGTAAATATAAGCTATATACAGTCCCTGTTGTACTTCAAGCACATAATCTTCAAATACAACTATTATCCTTTCCCATCTGTTTCTCTGGGGTTAAACCTATGCAGCATTAAAGGTTTTTGGAGAAGGAAGGCTGTTGTCATCGGATCGAAGGTGACTCTCAGAGCAACAGATATGTAAACTGCCATTTTATTCAATCACCATTCAGAGGAGATTTGACCCTCAAAACATGGCTAACACTTGCTCACTACTTCGACTGTCCTCTTCCCGCATAAGAATTAACAAAATTCAAGGCTAAATGGGGAAGCCTAAACCACCAGACACGTGGATTAACTTTTGCTCAATCACCACATACAAAAGATAACAATTTAGTCTACTCTTTTCCTCAACTATTAACTCCTCTATTCTCATCTACCCACACACTAGCTAAACCAGATATCACCGGTGCACATATATCTAGTAAAGAGTTTGACTAATATTAGCTGTTTTCATTTCAGCAGTCCAACTAGTAAATAATCATTTCCCCATTGTATACAGGCTAATTATAAAAAATCATTAGCTTTGTCCTAACATTTTCTGCATATTGGTAAGCCTTTTGAACAAACAAAAGGCTATGAGACAGGACACAAACATCTAGTTTTAACAAAGAGAAAACTTCATCTACTCGCTACAAGTTTGGCCGAAAAGTCTAGCCCATCATTTAACAAGGATATTACAACAACACACCCCGTGTATTCCCAACTTCGTTGGAGTGTGGGGCATCAAGATGTACAGAAAATACAGGACCTTCATTGAATTTAAATTCACTAACAAATAAGAAAGTTCTTTTACACAACTATCCATTACTAGGACATGGAGAAACTGAACAAAATCATTATACCACAGACAGGATTGATATTGAGAGATAGTTGTCCAACGAAATTAATAATAGAAACCTGATAGTTAGAACATGTTACCTCTTCCAAACTTCTTGCTGTCAGAATCCATCAATCAACATTTATAAATAAATCGACCATTACAGCTTGAAAATTCTACACAACAAAATATAAATATCAGCAATCAACTCAAAGATCAGCAATTAAAAAGGAATTACAAACAATTTTGACGAATTCCTAACAACATGACCAATTCACATGTAAATTAAGACAAAGTTCAGAGACAGGCTCAACTCAAAAAAAAATCTAGTTCATCAAAGAACTTTTCGCTAAATAAAGGTGAAATCTGGTAAAATTAGAATAAGCAGCAGCTATATTGAACATTAGGTTCAACACTCGTCATATTTCCTGTATTGCTGAACTTGGAAACTTTTGGAGCTCTCCCGCTGGAAAATCAATATCTTTTGGTAGATTAAGGTAAAAAAAAAAATTAAAAAAATCATATACTATTAACCTCCTAGGTTGCCTTTGAAAACCGACAGACGGCAAGAGAAAAAATAAATAAAAGGTCTCGTCCAAATAATTTTCTCACCCAATCTTCCGAATCCTGATTGACCGAAAAGGAAAGCCCATGATTGTTTTACTAAATGAACATACATCTTTTAAATCTAGAATAGGAAAAATGTAACTTAGTGAAGCAGTGCTTAGGTCTAGGTTTTAAAGGTTCACCAAAAGGGCGATAAGAACCATTTCGATTCGATACAGCAAAATACTAAAAAACCCCACAGTTTTAGACTCTTTGCGCTAAAATTTAGGGAAGAATCAGTACAAGGTTGGAACCTTGAAAGTAATATGGAAGAGAAGAACCGATAAGTCTATCGTTAAATAATGGGAAAAAAAAAAGTGTTAAGGTTCGCGATTATGTTTACTGAGTAATCATTACCCCAGCCATTAAATATAGAATTAAGTAGTAAATAAGTATTCAATTAATTATCTAGGAGAGGTTGTTTGGCCCAAGCTTGATTCTACTCGGCTAACGGACAATTCCGAGCTTCATTAAGCCACTTGCTGTTGGGATTCTACTTCAAGAATAGTAGACAACAATGGCTGCACTAAATCAAAGAACAAGAGGAAGAATTTATGGTTAGGAAAAAAGAAAGTTTTGTCTCCAAGTCACAAGTAAACTTGCTTTCCTTAAGGCTAAATTCGCCCACTATACAGCGCAATTGTCTAGGCGAATTCCCTATGAGATAAAATAGAGATCATGTTGTTTCACTATGCACTTTAGTGAACCAACAACCTGATACAAGGATAAGAAATGTCATTGGAAATATTCCAAGTATTTGGTGATTTCATTGTACACTAAAAGCATCCAAATGATCCATATTTATAGAGCTAGAGGAAACTCTTGAGAATTAGACCTAACCTTTGGTTATGGTTCTAGACATAACTTTTCGTTAATGTCTTTTCATATGGAGTCCATAGGCACAACCTACTAGTTGTGTCTCTACAATATATTGAAAACATCCAATAGGCACAACATATTAATTGTGTCCCTACAATATATTGAAAATAACTCCAACACTTGCGAGCCAGAAGATGTAAATTTTTAAATTAGAGTTTATATGATATAAAATCAGGCGCATCAAATTTTGATCTTTACATGTGTAAAATTTGGCAAAGGGTTTAGCTTGATCCTAAAAATCAACGGTGTTAAGAGGTTGTAAGGGTAAATGAAATAGGTTGTGAGTTCGACAGATATAAACAACAATTCGTATTTATGTTAGCTCACGTTTTGAATGCATAAATATTCTACATACATATATTAACCGTAATCGTCTGACTACCGAACGAACATCCACCACCAGCAGGTTTAAAAGGTTCAAAGAAAGTAAAGCGCAAACATGATATGAGCAATCCTTTTAGAGTTTCGGCGGTTAGTTAAGTTTATCAATTGTAACTCTGAGTCTTCAACTGGCAGGTTTAAATTTGCAACTTAGCCATAGGCTGACATCACTCCATAAACAGATAAGTAACAATAAAAAGATAAATCTTAAAAAAAAAAATCACCTTTTTGGATATTTATCTTTTGAAATTACCAGTATAGAACCTTTAAGCACGTAAAAAACTACCCAATAAAACTCTGAGAATGGCATTCCAAATAAAAAACTTTTCTTTCTCTAACATACTACAAAGAATAACCAACATAACAAAAAACGAAGTGCGGAAACAAAGTTCAAATTTCAATCAGGATGTTAAGAAAAGTACCATATGCAATGTGCTAAATCTTAAAATACCCAATAGTTATAGGAAATCGAATTCTTCTGGTAAATTCCCCCCATAATCCCCAACCACCTAGAAGTGAAGTCAGTGCAGAGATAGAGATTCAGGAAAAAAAATAAAATCAACAAAATTACACTTGTAAACCAACTGAATAATCAAAATATTGACATTCATCAATAAAATCAATAAAATTGCACCTCAAATTCCAAACATAGCTTCGCTTCGAACCTTAAGAAAAAAACAATATCGAAGCAGGGGAGCATCGTGCTACCTCCGAACTACCAAGTTCAAAGGTTGGAGTTGAGAGCGCCAATACGGAATTAAATCACTGAAAGTCTGTAATTGAAATCAGTGGGAGGAATGAAAACCCTAATTATTGTTGGTGGGGTGGGAGGAAGAACAAGTGAGAGTTTCTCTCTCTTCACTCCGGTCCAGAAAAGAGGGAAGTAAAACCAACGGGAGACCCTTTTTACGCTTTCTCTCTCCTCCGTGGGTTCGTAAAATCCCTAATTAGAGTCACGATTGGTTTATTTATATTTGAGGTTTGTCTGCGGCGGCCTGAACGGAATATTATGTTATTTTTTTTTCTTTATTTATTTATTTTTTTGCTAAGAAACATGTCGCTAAAAGCTTGTTCGCAAGTTATAAAAAAATATTTTTCAATTTTAAGACCAGAAATAATTGTGTTTATAATATTTATTTATTATTAGGACCATGAATAATTATGGCTTCAAATGTATAAGACCAAAATAATAGAAGGTCTATTGTGGTAAACCAATAAAAAAAAATAAAAAAATCTCGCAGTGGATCACATAAGGTAAATGGGTCGATTTTTTAAAAAATTTCAAATTTAGAAATTTTAAAATTTTTTAAATTAGAAAATAATAAAAAATTAAATTATTGGGACCAACCAGATCAAGGGTATGAATTTTTTTTTAATTTAAAAATTTTAATTAATTTTATATTATTTAATTATATTTTATTTCTTAATTATCAGAAAATCAAAAGACAGGTTCGAAGACGAAAAATTGACTTGGGACGTAAATAGTTAAAAAATCACATTTTTTTACGGAATGGGACGAAAATGATCGTTAAATGTGTGGGACGGAGATGATTTTTGGTCTAAATGTATAGGACGTTTCTAGGTTTAGTTTTTTTTCCCGACCTAAAAAAAATAAAAATAAAAATTGTTGCAAGTGAATTATCATGTTATTATTTGTAGTATTAAATACAATGTGGAAATTGGATGACTATTTGATGACGAATGAAGTACTAAAGATATTCTTTATGCTAAAATTTAAGTCAATGTGTTAGACCTTCTGTCCAGAAAATTAACGAAAATAGATATCAATTTTGCTGGTCGCCGTGAGAACCGTTTCCGAGTGGCTCCTAGCTTTAAATTCTCAGAGTGCAGAGGATGTTGCCACAAGAATCAAGTTTTTACGATTAATTGTGTCCACCTTTTTATCTTTTCATTTCATTTCACTCCGTAGCTATTCTGATGGAAGATACTTTGGCAAATATGATGTTTTCACTAGAGAGTTGAGCGCAACGATGTTATAGTCTTATAGTCTTGCTTTAATCACCCATTCAAAAGTAACAAATTTCAGAAATTTTTCATTTCTGAATAATCGCGCAAAATAAAAATTGATGACCCAAAGAATAAAGTGAAATAATCGGAGACCTTAACCAGGAAAAACAAATAAAAAGAATATTGACCAAAGAATTGAAAATTGTTGAGAATTCTATAGAATATAGATCTACAAAAATTACCCATCATCCATAATGTCGCAAGTTTTTCGAAAGTAGGAGGGGAAAAACCCTAAAGAAAGGGGGGGAAACCCAAAAAGAAAAAGACGAGGTCGGAACTAAGAACTTGGGGGGGAAATGAAATCTCAGCCAGATGACATTCCAATCTCTATATACGAGCAACATAAGAATTTGCTTGGGTGACATATCTCACCCATCTGTATGGGTTATAGCCTTTAGCTTTCTTTGCTATTTGTAAGTATTTCACCTGCATCACAACTCGTTCCCAGTGAGTCAACTTCATGAACAATTGTCATTCAACACACAGAATTTAATGCACAGTGTCCCAAGACATCCTTTCGTACTTTCTATTATCTTCAGGTACAATTATAATTTCTGGGTATGGGATAGTAAAGATGCTATCATAACCATAACTGTCTCCAGAGAATACTTTAGCATCAATAATGAAATTTAGATTGTATAAGCCCAACGCCTTTTCGAACTGAAGAATATCTATCAAAAGCACCCGCAAAAAGGAAGACAAAGGAGACAGAATATGCAGATGATGGTTACCTGAAGCCTTGACGGGTTATGCATAGGTATGGTGAAGTTCATGCTCACAGGTCCAGCTTCTTTTGTAATGTTTCCTGTATCAATGACAACACCAAAATTTGGGTTGAACGCATAACCCTTTAGCCAATAATATAAAACGGAAAAGCTTGGAGAGAGAATCATGGCCCAACGTTATTAAAGAATAATAATCAAACACAAATACCATGTAATTCCTGTGAAAAAGTTAGCTTTGCACGTAGAGTATGTTCTGATCCACCAGCAATCTGCTAAAAACATGAATGTCAGTAACACTAGCCAATAAAACCTTAAAACATGATCTTGTATTTTACACAGTAGTTTATATCTAAGAAATGCTAAAAGGAGAAGATTGCCTTTTTTAAATTCCATTCCATTCTCTTATTTGATTCCTTGAAATCAGTCGTCTGTCCAACTACTCCTGGTTCCAGCTCGAAACTAACCCTGAATGAAAAGAGAGGTAAAGTGTGACAAACTACATTACAAAAAAAAAATAATAATAATCATTCACAGCAGATGAATCCAATGGCACTGGAGTCACTTTATCAAAATCAAGTTCGACCATACAAGGGCTACGATCCTACGACAACTAAGATTTTCCCAGGCTATGCGAGAATTTAATATCGCTACATAGTTCACAGGAGTGAGTGAGCACCCAGATTGCACAGAAGGCATGGAAAAGGTATAAATGAATGCCATAGGTAAGATACAAGGTGTTATCAAATTTTAAATGGCAGAGGAACCTTATTCTTGACACAACTCACCAGACAGATAACTTCCTCCTAAAGGCAACCACATCAACATATCTCCACAAGATAGAAATTTGAGGTTCTATTATTGTAAACAAATGGCATTTACTACAAACTGTATGAGTTTCTTTACACCCTTAACAATTAACCCAAAATAAGCAACAGGGAAATGCATCATCGCCAATAAAAATTAAAAAGAAAACTTAACAAAGTTACCTCATCGTATATTTTGGCAATGGCATCTGCACTGCAATTGTATTTGCAGTAATAGTAGAAGGAAACTCGGCACGAATTTTCAAGATGACCTCAGCCTACATAAGTAGAGCGATGAAAAGTTGTATTTAATTAGCAAGCAAAGTTCAGATACTCCTTGTGAGTAGATTGCTAAACTTCAAACAAAAACTCGCACAGATACTACCTTGAGTGGTCCAGCTTCTTCAATTAGAGCGTTAATACGGAAAGGAGGCTTGAATTCTTGGGTTATGCGATAATTCATTACTGGAAACTCACCATCTGGTGGAACCTGGCAGATTAGTCATTTGAAAACACACAAAAAAAGACCCGTCTCAGATAAAAAAAAAAAAAAAAAAAAAACTGATAAAAACATTAAAATTAGAGAATTTAAGCCAGTTTGATTTACTCACCAGGTAAAGTGTCCTGTCCACATCAAAACTATCGAGATGTACAGACTCATGAAAATTGCAATCGTCCAGTATTACAGGGCCCGACCCAGATGAACCTCCATAACCTGTCATAAGGCATATACATTTTCATCACGCAGAACACAAAATCATCTGAACCAAGCAGGAAAACAAAATAAATCTAAATTACACAAAAGTGCGTAAGTTGATAAGCTTTTATTATTTTACAATGAGCTAAGGATCAGATTAGGATAAAATTTGAGTAATGGGACTTCAAAAAATAGTTAAGAGCTTAAACATACCATAAACTGAATTCCCGCCTCTTCCAATAGTGAGGTCGTCATTAAGAGCTAATTTGATTTCGGGGTTGCCAGTCAGATAACTCTTCATTTGAATGGTCCCATCAATCTCAGAAGTCAATATATAGCCCTGGAGAACAAGGTTGATGAATAAAAATCTTTAAAACCAGCGAGGGGGAGACAAATGACTAGAAGCTATACAATTCGATGCATAAACAAAAAATCCATGGTCATGGTATAGATATGGCTTACGAACTTACTAGTTAGGCAAAAGCATCTTGAGTTTACAAGTCATAGTTGTCAAGAAAAGGTATGCGAAGAATTTTACTAAAACTCAACAAATACAATACCCCAAAAAACAGAAATACAAATATTTAGGTAGAAGCATCTCAATCATTACAGAAAATTTAACCAAATTGCTTACTCAACACTACAAGCAGTAACTTACAACACAATGTCCATATACTTTCATCATATTTCTCTAATTCTTGATTCACAAAGTGCACATAAAGTCATCGTTTATGTCGGTAGCACTTCAATGTGGCAATGCAACACATATAGATCCAAAACGCAAACTGCTTAACAGAGTCAAACTTACACTGGAGCTAAACGTAACACTTATTTTCTCGATAATGTCCACAAATATTTCCTCCCTCTTACGACCTCCAGGTTCATTCGCCACAACGGACTTTGTAATGGCAGTACCAGGCATTCTTTTGTTCCCTTGCTGTACAGTAAGCAACAGGAGTAAATGATTGGCACTAACAACCATAGACTGGTTGAAAACACATCCCAAAATGTATGTTTTTTAAAGGTATCAATGCGATCAGTCATTACCATAAACATAGAAGCAGGGCCAAGTGAAGGCAAACGGGCTGCATCAATCACAATTGGTTCATTAAATACATAAGACTTCAAGACTTCCGTAGACGTTGTTTGAACATAACCGAAATCCTAGCAAAAGGAAAAAGAATATGAAGTTAACAATAACTTAAATTGTAGTGGAAGGACATAAGGCATACAGCCATACACTATGCTAGGCTGCCATAAAAAAATAGAGGCCTGGGAGGGGAACATTTTCAGAGAAGACAGGATTGTGAAAAAAAAAAAAAAACCGGTGACGAAGTGCAAATAAAAATCAATGCATGGAAATTCAGGTTGGAGAACTAGGTGAAGGACAAAAGAATGATATGCGGCAACAGCATACAGAGCTACAGAGCTTGGTAATTACTCGAACAATTTGAGTTTCTCAGCACATATGCAAGATATGACTCAAAATATATTTACTTACGATGACTTCATCAAGCAACTCATAAACGAGCACAAAATTCTTCCGCAGAGAATCTTCATTAAGAATGCCTAAATAATCCTTGATGACACGGGCAATCCTCTGTAAAAGCTCCAGAATGAGGGAAGGAGCAATGTTTGTTCTCGTGGTTGCAACAAAAAGGAGCCCAGCCACCTTGACATGGAAGTAGTTTACACCATCCACATTCTATGAACGGAAACATACACATCATTAGCTTAAGTCACACTTGCAGAAGGTTAACCCACTAACAGAAATACCTACAAATACAGGCGGAGCCTCCTCTTCGCCATCTTCACTCCAAAATTTAACCTTGCGGAAGAACGTCTCAGCACTTCCCTTTTGTATGTCACCGCGATCTGCATTCATATAATTGTTCCAAAGAATAAGTCATAAAACAATATCTCAAAATCTTGAACAGCAACAGAAATATCGCTCACTTGATCGAATGTCTGCATGATATTCCTAAACCACCCTTTAAATTCAAGTCAAACACATGAGTGATCATAACGATCTCATCCATTCCCAATCATATACTTTATTCATTCAAACTTCACCGAGAAATAAGCTTATATTGCACATTCTGATAAACCTAACCACTACAAACATGAGGTTGACAATCAAGTAGGCTCTATAAGATCAAGAATCACAAAGTGAAACATTTTTTTATTAGAATGGAAAAAGGAAACATGCACCATAACTAACACCATGATGTTATAAGGGACCTTAATATTCAGTAAATCACGGCTTCCACAGCGGAAAGACAGCAGATACGGAATTAAGATTTAGCTCAGAATAGCATAGAGAAATTCAAATTTGCTAGCTGGGAGAAATCAGAAACGTTGCATTCCCTAATCATACAAATAAAAAGATAAATTTGGAACTGGAAAAGATCCAATTTCTCAAATATTAGCTGCCTAAGTAGATCTGATTGCAGAGTGCCACGATTCTATGGAAAATTACAGGAAAAGAAGGGGACACGAAGGGAACTCACAGTCGCGGAACACGATGTTGTCGCCTCTCTGGGAGAGCACAAAGAACTGAGAGATCATCACGGTGCCTGTGACGGAGACGGAGTCACTTCAATTCCAATTTTCCGATGAGATTCTCGTGCTGGTTCTTTCGAATCCGGTCGGGTCAGCCTGTGTGTTTTTCTTTTTTTTTTCCGCTTTGGTAATACGTACTGTTAACATTTTGGCTGATACTATGATTTAAGTTAAGGCGTGTTCCTGAAATTCGACAGTCACTTCACGCCTTTGATGATTGAAATTAAAAGCTCACTACATTTCTACTTTTCTTTTCTTTTTTCCCTTTATTTTTTCTTCTCTGTTGGCCAAATTTATATTATCAGTTCCCAAAAACACAATACATTATCACAAATATAGATTACCTCTGTTCACTATTTTATAGTATATTAAGCACTCGGTATCCGAAAAGCATTGTTCCGACTAACCCGAATTCGAGTCGGGTAGATCCCATATTCATTATTTTCTTTTTTCAGCATATTCGGATCTTGGAAGATATAAAACTAGGTTTATTCCATTAAAAAAAATTTTAAAGTATCAAAATTGCCAATTTAATATTTATTATCCATCAGTATAGATTTGGATTTGTTACAATGTTTTCTCGCCCTAAAATAAATTTTTCACCGTAAATTTTGATTGGATTGATTTTGACTGAATGATTCAATAAAAAAAACAATAAATGGACACCGTTGAATTTTCCTTTATATGAATGTATGTATTGTTAGACGGAAATACAAGATCACTTTGATTAAAAGTGTCATTTAAAAAAAAAAAAAAACTTCAATACATTATAAGTGAAAGTCTAACCTATTTATACACTCTATTATAACAAAAACCACTTTTGTCTTAAAAATCCACTTGTCAAACTTTCCTTCAAAGTTTCTATTTGTCAATTTCTCAAAATGACTAAAAAAATTATGCATTAATTTCTGCTCAATTTCATAATTAACTGCTTCATGAACACAAATAAATTAAGGAAACCGCCCTCAGTTACACACGTTCACTATTAAAAAAAAACTGATTATTGAGATTTAGTATCATCAAACTCAAATCCTATTCGGAATTAGATCAATAAAAAATCTTATACACAATGAAACGATATTGGAAAAATTCAAGTGTTTTTCAATTTTAATCTGTTCCTTCATATGCCTTTTTGTAATGAAAAATGAATTTGGACATTGTTTGATGAGGCTTCATATATTGTAATTTATGGTCTCTTCCCAGCGTGTTTTGATTGATTTTTGATGAATCATAAACTAAAGCGGAACAAAAAGATCTTTCTCGCTGGGCTTTTCTATTATGAATTTCAGCAAATAGATTATTCATAAAAAAAAAAATTTCTTTTGTTGATTGTTCGTATGTGCTTCGGGGGAATTGTTCCTGCTCAACTTGCTTAGTGTAACGTCATTTCATTACATTTTCTAGGGAAATAAAACTACATCTAATTTACTTTTTATACTGCCTTTTTTCCTTGTGGATTCTCTTACGGTTTAAACAATCATAAAAATGATATACTACCTCCGTTCCATAATTATTGTCCATTTTAAGTTTTCATTTTTAGTTGAAATTGTACAAAAAGTAAAATCTGAAACTGGACAATAATTTTAAGACAGAGGGAGGGAATGTTATAATCATTGCATTATAATCATACTTACTCTCATAAAACAAACAACCTGACACTTCAATTCTCTCTATCTAATTGTTGTATCTAAAATTGATTAGATAGGAAGAAGAATTATTGGTTGAAAACCCATACCCGTGCGGTCGCACGGTCCAGTACCTAGTACTATCTCTATAGACTATAATAATCTCATAAATGGATGTGTAGAAATTAGAAAAACAATACTCTTTCCTTATTATGAACAACACATTACAAGGGCCGTCCTTCGGAAATCTGATTACAACATCTCGCTCTCTCACAGCCCAAACTGGTCAAACCTGGGCTAACTAAACTTGAGCCCAATAACGGAGAACAGCCCAACATCTTATTTTCCACCACAGCTTTCAAAGCCCGTGTAAGAGACCCAACCTCCTTCCCCGCAGCGCCGCCACCGCACCGCACAACCAGCACCGCCTTTGTCCGACCCCCGACGGTAGCCATCTCCGCCCTGACCACCTTCCCGTTAACCGACTTCACCGCTTCCGTCAGCTCCCCATTCAACCTCGGCCGATCTTCACAGCATATCACGGCTTTCACCGTCACTAATCTCCGCCCTTCTTCTCCATCATCTCCGCCGCAATAACTCACGTTCAGCTCATCGTTTTCCCCCGGCAGAAACGACAAACTAGGTCCGCCGCCGTTTTCCTTTAACGAGTAACGGTCAGCTACGTTTCTCCTAAGCTCTTTCAAGCGGTTCACCGTTTCCTTCAGCACCCTTGATTTATCACTCTGCAATGCATGCATCATTTCGTAACAATATATATACAGTGAAAATAGATAGTGAAACAATATGATATTTTAATAACGGCATCTTTTTTATTACAAATTTCGAACATTATGTAAACTATAAGTATGATTTCATTTGAGGGAGAAAAGAAAAAACTAAAAAAAGAAAAAGAAAAAAGAAAGTACTTTTGGGAGATTTGGGAAGAGTTTCCGGAGAGTATTGAGGTGGGCGTTGATTCTTTTTCTTCGATTACGTTCTGCAATGGCGTGTTTATTTGCTACAGCTTCTTCTGATTGCATAAGTAACCCTCCTGAGCTTAAGTTCGGAAGAAAAACACCATTTCCTGCACAAACCTCCTTATTGAATGTGTGATTAAAAGGGCTCATTTGTTGGTGTTGCGTGAGAATATGACCAATATTATTTCTAGGGACATTGTCTAAACCTTGTGATTCTTGCAATTGGAGCATATTTGCGATTGAAGTTTGTTGCTCTGGAATAACTTCACTTTTGGAGGAGATGAGAATTGAAAAAAAAAAAAGAGTACACCTCTTATACATAGGCTCATGAATAGTTTTTCTTTGAAAGTGGCTTATATATAGTGATGATTCATATATAGTGCAAATAGGTTTTTTTTTTTTTAAAAAAAAAAAAGGTACCTGTATATTAGTTAAGAAAAAGTACCTAACATATTACAACGCATTCTATGGATTGCTAGATTATGTAAATTCACAAAATCTTATCTACTCACTTTAATCATTTATACATGATTATGTAATTCCTCTTTTTAAAGTTCTTGATCGTATTTTGTTACTAAATTGATATTATTGATATAAACAATATATATTAACTTTCTTGAAGTTAAAGCGTATATAGTACTTTTTCTGTTCAAAAGAATTATATGTATTGTGGTTTGGATATTGTATTAATTTCACAAAATGTACATCAAATTTTTTATCAACGAAACACGATAATGCTTATTATTTCTATTTATTCATGGAGTATAGTCAATATGTACAGTCTGTGAAGATTAAAAGATCCTAGGAAACGTGTGATATGTGAGATATGACGCCATTACCAAATCATTGTTAATGAATTGATCAAAACAGAAAGAGAATTTGTATACGTAGCAAGGTGATCATCTTTTTTGAAAAATGAGACATTGAATTTACTGCATACTGTTGGTGCGGTTGAGAGCTGGAAAAAAAGGGTTTAGTTTTTTTTTTTCCCCCGCTTTTACTTTTTTCTTTTGGTTTTACCATGAAGCCAACTGATTGAAAGAGGGGTGAATAAATGATGCTTTGAGTTTGAGATGAGACAGAGATTGCAGGTTGTAAGAATCATTTGGTCTGGAATCTTGATATATTTGCATATTTGTCGACCTGGGATGTTGAGAGAGCTAAAAAACTGCAGCATCAACTTGTCCAAACACGACAACATCAACCTCTCCGAATTTGGTATGACCATTGCACCAATTTAGTAACGAGCTTGATGTTATGAGTTGTTACTTGTTAGTATATACTATATACTGCTTCTGTCTCAGAAACAGTCCACATTGTAACGTGTACAATATGTGAATTATATTAAATAGTACGATTTAGAAATTATAATGTGAATTATTTTGGACGGAGAGAGTACTATATATTCTGCTAGAACCAAAAGTTACCCAAAAACAAAAATAAAAACACCGCATGGGGATACATTTGTAGTAAGAAGTGAAAGCCATTTTGTTTTTCAATTGATTGAGGAAATAATTCGAAATTAATACAACGTGATATTTTGAGAACGTACTATTTCTTTCTACAATACATATTATTAATTAAACATTCAAGATTCAAATCATTTATCTCGTGCCACCAAGGTCACAAGCTAGGGGTGAACTAATTTACCAATCTTCATTCAAACTTTCTTTCTACAAACGAAGTAATTAATTGGGGGAAAGCCAAAATAAAATTAGCCACGAAAATGCTTCCCTTCTTGAAAACTTTACAAACTTTCTATACATTGATTTTACTTGTTGCATGTGGTCCTACGTTCGCTTTGCTCTAGATTATAACATTTGTTCTGATATCTGAATCTCTGGTCACCTTCGAGAAGCCTTTTTCTAGGATGCAGAGGAATAGCCACAGTAAAAAAAAATAAGAAAGAACAAAATGGAAAATGATATGTAATTCTCCTTTTCTTTTTTTTTTTTTTTTGGTCAAAGGAATGACATGTAATTCTAGCTGTTATATTCGTTACCTAACAAATTGAACATTTTCTAGGCCTTCTTCCATACAACGAAAAGTCACCATCCTTGGCCATCTTAAAACATTCCAACAATAAATAAAACCATATTAGCCCAAAATCAAGAAGCAGATCCAAGATTTCTATTTGAATTTGACAATGAGACATCAGCATCTGATGATCAAACCAATTGTCAGTGTTAAGACATGCAAGTGGTACCACATCCTGAATGACAAAGATCAAACTCAGGAGACAAATTGGTTTTCTGAAAAACTTGTTTTGATGTAGAGGGATGCAAAATTAAGGATGGAATGAAAAACAAAACAGGAATTTCTAGTACTTCTTGGACAATGACACAAAAGGGTTCATGTTTTTTGTCCATGATGCTGCAATAATTCTAGTGGACTATTGAAATGGGACGGAGGAAGTATCTGGTAAATAGTTTCCAGGTTCTTCGATGCAGCAGCAGCATCGCTAGCTGGTACTGCAGTACTTGCAGCAGTTCTCAATGCTGCAAATGTTTTCACCGGGCACTGTTATCTTCGCTGCAGCATAAGGTTTGGCTTAATTTGGCCTTTGTTTTCAGGTAGGTCCCTACCTTGAAGTTAACTAGTCAATTGGTCCTCTTGTCTTCCAACAAGATATACAGCCATACCTTTGTTTTCTACTTAAATTTGGAGATCAAATAGTAGCTCTGATCCCCCATTCAATTCATGTTTACCTATGTCGAATAGTACCTATGTCGACAGAAAAAATGCAATATCCTTGCCCCTTAAATATGAATGTACAAATTGTTCACTACTTGGGGCGCTAACTCTCAGCAAGCTCTCTATTATTTGCTAGTTATTCATGCGCAAATGCCACTTTTAACTGTTAATAAGGAAAAAACATTCTGGCAAAAAAAGTGAATATAGGAGTTGAATTCAACGCCCTCTGAAAAGGTAAGAATACTAAGTAATAGTCCCAAAGTAATTGTTGCTCTAACAGTTGTTGATAAATCTGCAAAGAGAAACTCTTTTGGAACTTTGCAGCATAGTATACACAGTTGACAGTTACCCCAGAACTTCTACCACTACTTTCTTCTTTAATAGACAACAACGAATGCGTAACCCTACCACCAAGACAGCTTACCAAAATGTGGTTAGTAACTAATACTCAAGTTGTTAGGTTCCGCTTCATAAAAACTTTTTAACTAGAACTGGAGTCAGGGGGTTGCTCCTTGTCTAATGAACGGAGATCCAACAGGAGGGGCCAACCCAAGAGCTCGCATAACTTTAAGTACGCGTGCACTCGAGGATTTAGATTTTTGCACTGAAGCTCTTGGCTGCAAGTAGCAAAGCAATTAAACCAGTCAACAAACAACTGCATTATGCAAAACCAATATATGATGCTGAAAATGCAAACATGAATATAATTTACTCACAGGTTCCCGTCGAGTGGCTTTTGACATTGTCTTCTTTACATGCTGCCGTGATGGAATCACGTTAACAGATTTTGCAAGCTGCAAGGTGGAGAAGCAAATCAAGTAAAATGAATGAATACGCATATAACTAGAGAGAAACAAAATAATGATAAAAAAAGAATACTCACAGGAGCACAGGTGCATTTTCTTTGAACTGCATTCTTTGCCTGGCCATTGCTTCTTGAGGACCCAGTTTCTTCTTTTACCGAAACTGAACTGTGATTTTTCCCACTTGTCCCTGGTTTCTGGAGGAAGATAACATTTCAGTTTTAGCATATAAACTGTTCCAAACCTGTAACTCAAGTGAAAAAATTAATTAACTCACAGGTTTGCGGCTATATGTTATCAGTTTAATGCCATTTTCTGTTTGTGTCTTCTTGCCTGCCTCAGAATCTGATGATTTGCTCTTACCACCTACCGGAGACGACGAAGGCTTTCCACCTGTGTCTTTCTCCTGGGAAAAGTAGGATCATAAGGACAATAACTACTAATACAGACTAAAAAATTTGACCAGAAGAGCATTATACTCACTGCAGTTGTTTTTGGTTTCTCAGGCTTTGCATCATGATCCATGGTTCCATTCTCTGCAATTCTTTTCCTGGATGGTGATTGTACTGGGGAGACCATTCCCTAATACCCAACCCAACTTAGCTCAACTACACATTAGGGGAAAGCAAGTATTATTACAAAAGAAATTTGCATTTTACTCACAGAGTTTGATTTCTTTACTTCCGCTGTATTCTCCTTTCTGTGCTTTTCCTTTTGATCTGCCTGTGTGTAACAAACATAAAACAGAACTCTTATTAGTCAAACAAGGGGAATAAAGAATATAGATGGAAAGGAGCAAGTACATTCAAATCCCAAGAAGAAAAAAAGGAGCAGATACTCACAGATTTTATGCTCTTTGACTCGGATTTCTTCTGCTCCTCTTCTCTCTTCCTCTTTCTGCTCGTGTCTTCCTTAGAGGCGACTGGTTCCAAGTTATTCTTCTGACACTTCTTTGTTGTAGAAGTTCCATTTACTTCTTTTTCAGGGGACTTCACCTGAGGCAAAGAATTGCAGAGCAGGAACCAAAATGAATAAAGATTGTGAAAACATTAAATGTCAGACCTTTATGAAGGCCCGACCAATAAAAACATAAGAACTCATGCAGTAGATGGTTTAATTGCCACTCTCATCAGCTTTAGGGGAGTAAATAACATAATGATTCTCCATAATACTACAGATGCATTTTAACATCTGTACACGCCTTAAGTCTCCTTTTTTAAGCACCCGCAAACGGATAAATCATGATTAGTCATCAATGAACTTTCTTGTTACTTTCATTTAACATGCATAATGAGCGAAAGTAATAATAGTCGTTAATAGTATAAATAACTTACTGAAGATAGGGACTTCATTTTTAGTAAGTCCGAAGAATGGGACTTCATACTTTTGCTTTGGTTACTTTTCATTTGATTTAACTTTCCGTTTTGAGACACCTCGCCCTCAACTTTTCCTGCCAAACACACAGAAGTTTTGAAGTTAAGAGACACAGAGTTTACACTAGAGGTGTGATGCTAATCTGGTAAGTTTAGTAAATGCATCTCAAGCTACAGAAATGACACAGTCCAACCTATTAGTTGACGAAGAAAATGTTCCTTCCCAAAGTGTTGATCATGAATTTTAGAGTATTAAACAAAGAGAAGGTAACATGAAAAAGGAACTGAGACATAGCCCCGACCTTTTGTCTTTGACTCTTTCGGCTTAGAAGCACCAGCTTTGGGACCATGGAGAGCCTGTATGCCAAATCAGTTATCCAATACATGGAAAGTTATGATTCAAATTCTGAACAATGATGCAAAATTCCTTTCCTATGTCGCAAATGACAACACATTACCAGTTTCATAACTTCACCTAGAGCAGCTGTCTGATTACTTCAGTCTTCAGTCCATCTGCACCCAAATGTGTAGTAAAATGAAAAATATATATCCAGACCAGTTGTAGGATTTTAAGTTTCAGTTCAATAGATACAAATTTCACAAGATACAAAACACATAGGTAGCAAAAATTGGAACTTCAACATCAAAGCCTTCAAACGAACAAAAAAACTCGGCAAGCAAGGAGCAAAAGCACGAATTCCTACAAGTAACAGCCTATTACTGCTATAACTCCAACTACTGTATCTTTTGAAATAGATGTCTCAAAGTTACAATTCCCTAAATCCTTGGTCACAGCCATAGCCTTAAGATTTATCATTCTAGTTCTTAGCAAAATTCGAGGACTTTGTTACAATTCCCTAAATCCTTGGTTCTAAAAGGCAAGACAAGTCAGACAGATATGTACTTTCACACCCAAACAGAAGCTTCAGACTTTCAGTTGCACTTCAAGTTTTTCACTAGGAGATAACTAGTAGTATAAAATGAAAACTGCGTCTGTTATTCCTGTCAATTTCTCGCCCAAGGAAAAAACTTCCCTTTTTGGTAAGTAGCAAAACTTTGCCTCCTAAACTTGAGACCATCTAGCTAGCATTCCACTATATCAACAGATTTCACATGACTCGTATGCAATTCGGAGTGACATAACATTCATTAAAATCTTATTGTTACCATGTTATCCCATCCTATGGAAGGTAAGTAAGGCACATCAAGCTGCAAAGGAAACAAACGTACTAAGATATAATTAACTGCTGATCCTTATACGGCACCTTATAAATGGTTTTCTTTATCGTCCATACTGTATGTGAAGAAGCAATTAATTTCTCCTACAACTCCAACCAAACTTGTGAGACTCCAACTGCATAGCCATACAGGTTTAGAAAAGTTCTGGTGCAGAAACTTATTTCTTCCTTTCTACCGTCACATGCTAAAAGCCCAAATTTAACGACCCATAAACAGATTCAATTTTAAATATCAGGAACAAATCAGTTAGGTGTCAAGGTCTTCATTTCCGAAATTTCTGATGTAGGGACACAGCAAAATGCAGAGCAGTTAGTAGAAGAGGCAGCTGACAGGGCTTTCTGAAAATTTCATTTCCAAGTGTTTGTCAATTTCTATGCTACTAACATCTACAAAGCATAATGTTGCAGTGCGCAAAAATAACAAGAGTAGATCAGTAAGTAACATCTAGTAATCCTGAAGTTCCTAGGCTTCCACAGTATCAATAGGGGCCAGTAAATGGCGCTCCCAAGCCAAACAGATAACAAATACCCAACCATATCCATTACAAAGCCTACATCCAAGTTATACCATCTTTACATAGCTACTGATGGGCTCAGATAAAACAAGTCTGCAAATTCATTGATGAATAGATACACTCTGAGATGCTTATACGATTGTAAAGTCATTTCATGTCACTGGATAACTATAAGGATATGGCAATGACCCAGCATTGCCCTTTAACAACAGAATAATCTCTTTAACAGAATAATAAATAATTAACTTCAGCTAACTCTTCACAATGTACTACGTTCATAACCTCATCTGATCAAGGGTTCAAAGCCCAATTCAGTAACAAACCTCTAAAACACTGATAAGAACAATCAAACCAAAAGTTGAAAACAAAATAAAAAATTAGTCAAAGCGGTGCGCTTCTAAACCACAGCAAAGCACCCTTCCAAACAAAAGTAGACAGGGAAAAAAAAAAGAAAAAAAAACGACTGATGTTTTAAGCAAAAGGGTTACCACATTTTCACTCCAAAATTACAGAATTCAAAATTGCACCGAAGTTCCTCTATCGCCGTTAAAACTATCAGGGCTTAAAGCAGAGTTTTCAGCATCTCAAGGGTTGAAAAGACTATACAGATTACCATTCGATATATTCCCTCATGAATCTTACTGAAAAAGTTTATAAGCGATCAAAACAAGAACCATAAAACGGAATTAAGAAATCCCGCACCAGCACCCCAAGTAGCCAACAGAAAAGAAATTGAAAAAACAAGAATGTGAATTGATAGACACACTTACATGCAATAAATCAAAAGAGCCCACCAAAATAGATCAGTTTTAGACCAAAAATCAGAACTTCCGGATGAATTCTCCGCCTCCGCGGAAAAAAAAAATAAAAATCCAAGCTTTAATGTTCAATTGTACTCTGGAAGAACCAGGGACGATGCATATATACCAAATGAATGAGAATGTCTGAAAAACCCACGGCCACCTCTTACGAGTGATACGTTTTTTCTTTTATGTCATGGGCTCTGCTAGAAGCGTGATGGCTTTGTTACACTTAATTCATTGCGGGTGACACGAGATTTAGGTTGTTTTCAGAATAAACAAGTAAATAGTTTGGAATATATTTTGAATTTTGTAGGAGTTAACTCTGAATTCTAATGTTGTGTAAATGTAGTACTATCATGGTTTCAATAATTTTTTTTCCATGAAATCTTTTTTATCATTTTCATAAGAGTTTCAAATAGAGAAAATAAGTGCGCAAAAAAGAGATGGTTAATTTCAAGGACTTACTTTTTATCAGTTATTCGTTGTTCACAAAATTTAACGTGTTTTTACTCACACATCATTTTCAATTTGTCACTGGTAAACAAGGTTTTGAAAACTTATTAAAATTTAATTTTGTTTACCACTGTTGTTCTCGCTGTAAGATTTATGACTCGGATGAAAAAACTTCTTTGGACCTCTAACAAAATAATGAAACGTGCACACACGCATATATAGTGTACGTATGTATTTAAATATACATATACACTTGTGATTTTGGAAAATTAAATAATAATGATAGCAATAATAAAGATATGTTAAAAGAGGCACAATCGCATTCATAATCATTTGTCATATAATTGTAAAAATTAGAGAAAGAAGAAACTATAACTTTGGGGACCAATTTGTCATATAGTCATACTTTGATGACTAAAATAGTCCATTTGAGATTTGACTTTTGACCAAAAGAATTCCAGGTTCAATTTATAAAATTCGCCCCTTTTCAGAATATTTTTGCTATGTTCCGTTAAACCCTTCCAACTCTCTCAACTGGCTAGTGGCTACTGGCTACTGCTCCGATTCTTCCTTACCCATTCCTGAATTCCCCAGGCTCACGGTTGCAAGACGAGGTAAAAATCTCTTTTCTGTTTTCTGTTTCTATTACCTATGATTTTGCTGTGTTAAACAGTTGAACTTTTAATTCAACTAGGGTTCATCTTACTGGAACATGGTTTTGATTATTAGCGTATGTGAACTGGAAATTCTTTGTTCTCGAACTTGAAGAAGTATTTATTCTCGAATTTTTCGTTCATAGTCGAACTGGGATGCTCCGTTTTTTTACAGATCGTTGAAACCCTGTTATCTGAAGTTGTCATGTTTGCTCAATAAAGTTCAAAGATATGATTTTTTTTGCTCTTTGATTCTTTACAATATGATTACTCTTTGATTGCCTGAGCTGCATACAAGTTTCGATGAAGTTAAGAAATGGGTTTATGGCATTATGAGCTATTGCGATAACTAATTATGTTTTATTACCATTGATGGGGAAATTTTTTGACACGAGAAAGTTTCCGAAGTTAACTTTTTTCTGTTTCCTGGAGTTCGGAATTGAAAATTTGTACATGAGCGTAATATCGGGGGAGTGTCTGCGATTAAACATTGTCTCTTGTTTGAGTGTGTTTAGCCTTGTGGGATTGTGGTTGTTTTCAGTGTCAGATTTACTCGTTTTCGGTTGTGTTCTGTAATGTGTTGAAGAGTTTGGAAGAGGTCCGGAATTCGATCAGAAATGGTTGAATGGTGGTGGTCCATAGTGGGAGCTGCAGTTCCAGCCGTGGTGGCAGGGCAGGCTTTCAGGATGAAGAATAAGCGTGCAGAGGAGCAGAGACTAAAGAGTGCACGAGGCAGAGAGAAGAGCTCCGACGAAGTCTTTGTCTGCGAGCGCGTGTGTACTTCGAAAAGGATGCTCAAGAAGGTTGGTTCATTCTCTAAGGATCCTACTCCAGATACTTGCGTGACAGTTTGTGGTGTTTCTGAGCTTGATGCCTGCGCTGATGCTTGTGCTCGGACAGTCTGTGTTAATCAGCATCAAGTACCTAACTGGAATGATATTTGTCTGAAGAGGTGTCAGAGTGAGTGTCTTAGGCTGTCTAATTCGTCATCCATGTCTTGATAGTCTGCAAATAGTTAGTAGGTCCAAACATTTTGCAGTAATCACCTTTTGTTGTAGTCCTTGCTTGCACTATGGATCAAGATCTGTGATTCTGCATTTGTTAGAGCGCTGTTATTATCTCCCTAATCATTTTGAATTATCTGAAATATCTATAATTTAATGAATTGAAACTTCAAATCCTGGATTTTCTGGGATGAAGAAGGTTAAGCATGCATCCCCCTTTTTCGTAAGCTGGAGGATCTCTTTTCTAGCTCAATAAATTGTTTTACAAATGATGGCATGAGAAAATTTCTTTGTGGTGTTTCTCATGTGGTTAGATGCTGGAATCGCCACCCTGGCATTTTGCCACATATATTTTCAAGAGCCACTGTACTTTTGTGTTTTCTCCCTGGTCTTTTGTTCGATGCTGGATGAAACATGTAACAGAGACCTCCAGTAGTGCGAAACATACTGGACCTGTAGTGCAAAATGTATTGAGTTGGTGTGAAATGTGATTGTGACTTGTAATGCTCCAATGTTTAGCTTATCCTATGTTTCTTATCTTCCTCTTTCAAGGTATAGATGGTTTGTTTGACATGAAGACAATTTAGTATTTGTTAATAGCACAAAGCCCTCAGCGGTGTCTTGTGTTCTCATTATCGTGAGAGAGGATCAGGTTTTTGAAGAATGGTTTCTTAGATTATGGCAGTTTGTTCCCTCCATATGTATTTTGACTTTGATGAAGTTGCAGAACAATTGAATCAGTGGTTGGCTTCGACACTAGAGATTATTCGACTATGTCAATCATTTTCTTGGGAATGCGATGAACAAAATTCTAGGAAATCAAGGGACATGCTCATTTTCAAACTCCACAAGCATTTTCTGGTTTTGGAGATTTTTTAGTCATCTAGCTTATCATAGATAGAGCTAGCTTTTGGTCAACCCAAAGACACAGGCTGCAGGTTGAGTTGTGTGAAGGACCAAGAGGACGGGTTGAGAATATCAGAGATGGTCAGTGGCTTTTGGGACACTGTTATCCTGCAATCAGAGTCCTTTCGTACATTCCAACATAAAAATGACCAGCGGAGTCTCGACACCGAGCTCATGGATTACGTACATTTGTAAACTTAGAGATGTGTAAAGAGAAGGATTTAAGCAGATGGATCAGAAAATAATGGAGTCCATAGCAATTGTCATTGGTTTTTATGGAATAAAATAACCAAGGAGTTAGCGCAAACCATATTTAGAATCAAATGGTTTGATATTACTGATTGTACACAAAGGAATATAAATAAGAGGTATACCGTACCCATTAAAGGTTCAGTTCACAAATCAATTTTTCAGGTCATCCTTCCATCGGGATCAAACTAGCTAGATGGAGATACGAAGATCACCATCACACAATTGAGATAAATGAATTAAGAAATCAGCGAATTCCACTGCATGACATCTAAGATCACGAACACATCAATCTTTATTCGGATCAAATCCATGAATCAGTTACAAGTATACACATGCTAACTTACGCCAGTGGAAACAAGAAGAAAAAAATGGAGATTTTTTTGAAACAGGATCCTCAGATCCTCAAACCGAGAAACTTCACACCCGCCATGGTTTCTTTGTCAAGTTCCTTCGCAAAATGTAAAGACACCTGGGATTGTATGGCAACAATTCGATAATCTGCGATAGTTTTCTGTTAGTTGTGCGGTGTATACACTTCTTTATGGACTCGTGAAGTTATCAACATTTTCAGAGATCCACTTCAAAAGTTCATCTGTTGGAAGGGATCTTTCTTGTATCTTTCCAGTACCCTTGGTAGAAACACTTTCTTCAACTTCTTCACGACAATATTAGCTCGAAGGAACTTTTGGCAGATTCTAATTCCTCTTTGATGTTGGATGCTGTTTATACTCTCAGCTATTGATGGAATGGAAAAGATAGGAAATAGTGTATCACTCTACAAGACTTGTTTTGTATGTAAGATCAAGTTCACCGAGAAGGACAACAGTACATTGGATGAGAGCCACAAATTACATAGCTAAATACTAACTTCATGTTGAAACCCAGATTTTTCTATACCAACCAAAATCAGATGTCTGTTACTGCACAATGGATTCCCAAGCAGCCATAAGAACTAAGCTAACCATTTCATGATAATCATCCATTGATAAATTTAGTTATTTTTTCCAGGAACAAAACTAAAAACAGAAAATTAAGCTTCAAATTACCGTGGGATCAGAGAAGGCTCCTGTACAAAGTACAAAACAAACAAGAGGCTCTGCATCTTGATGACCAACTCAGGAGCTCATAAGATGTCTTTCTTCTGATGACTTTTTCCTTAAAGCAGTTGATACAAGAGTTTCTAGCCACTGTACAAGAGCATCCCGGTCATGTTTGTTACTGCATAATAAGAATTTACTGATATCATCTATAGATATGGCAATAAAAGGTACCAAATATGGCAACACTTTTCACTGCAATACTGTACTTGAGTTTTGTTTTTCCATTAGACAGCCCAAATAGCACAATATGCACATACTTTGTTATGGTAGTTACTTCGTATAAAGCATTCATATCAGATTTGAAGTTACATAAAACCCCCTTAACAGTAGAAGGGAAAAAAAGGTCAATTTGAAATGAAGCTCAATCCCCTCACAAAAAATTGCACGAGTCTTCTAAATAGAGGAAGAGGGAAAAAAGAATATGTACCCTGAAAAATGTGTTGTCAAAATAGCAGTAAATTTTGTTTCTGTCATCGAGTGTAAAGTTGAAAGAATTTCAAACAAAACCTGGCGGCATAGACGAAACCATCTAAACCTAGAAGCTTAGAATACATATGGACAAGAGAAAGCAGCAACGAAAGAGAACAAAGACAGGAAAGAAGCATGGCAACAGAGTTGCATACACAACAGTGGAAACAAGAGAGAAACGAAAGGCATTTCACTAAAGATCATGGAAACTATAATCTTTTTTAAGAACTTTAACCAAAACCATGGCCCAAAAAGACCTCTGTCGAAGAGTGACTTAGTTTTGCAATCTAGCACTTTAGTTGGTGGACATTAATAGCCCTGCTAAATCCCGATTGCAACATGAATAATTGAATTTTTTTTAATCAAGAGTTTAAAAAAAAAAAAAAGCCTCAGTATGCATATTTAATACATTTGTAAATATTATGCGACCCTGCTGGGTTTTAGAACTGTAGTCAAAGTATGCAGGCATTAGAATGCATCTACATGTGTTCATTCAACTTCTAGAAATCTGAGGATGTCAGCTTCCAATGCGATGTTTTCTTGAGTCACTACCAGTACATTGCCGCCACAAGCCCTCTCCCTTTAGTACTGAAAATCGTACTTGAAAACTCTTTTGATAAAGGAAAACAAGAGAGGAAACAAGACCAAAATTACTATAACCCCACAATCAGGATTATGTCATATTCATTTCTGCACTCTGCATGCATAACAGAATACGACTTCAAAACGTGACGGCAAGCATGGCTAAAAGCTCCAGAACATGATGAACTTTCCTTGTACAAGATGAAGAATCTAAACACATAAGAGGACGGATCATAAGAAGGAAATCACATCAACAGTTGCAATTATGATGATTACCAACAACTGACTGAGTGATGTCAATACTCAATAGCAGAAAAGCCTAAAAGTTAATTGACAGTTTCATTTCAAGAAAACCGTGCACAATGATCTACATGGGTACCGGTACACAGCGTCATTCAATACAAAGATACAAACTTTCTACAACCAAAACAGATGCATTTCCTAACTACCCCCAATCCTAAAACTCAACTACTTCAATGGAAGCAAATTCCTTCGCCACTTGCTGATGCACGATAGAATCTTAAAGATTCTCCCCTCATTTATCCTTTAACAACAACTCTAAGGCCGTTCCCAGCCTAAATAGGAAAATGAAGTTAAAAAAAGAGAGAGGGGACCTGGGTAACTCCCTGTTTAGAGTCTGCCCCACTATGTTACAACAGAAAAGAAAATGTTCCATACCGATTCCAAAATCCGACCACCAGTTCTCATAGCACGCTCTTCCTGGGCCTTCCTCTCTTCCTTGATCCAGGTGCTGCCGCAGTAGTCACCTTCGGTTTCACCGGGGCTCTGACCGGCGTAGCATTCACCGGTTCTCGCCTTCCACTAACATTACTATTATTCTGTTCAGCAGCAGCCGGAAACATTGGTGGCATCCAATTTGGAAACCCGGAGCCAGCAGCAGCAGCCCCCTTTCCACCAGTACCACCAGCATCCAACTTCCCATTCACAAAACCCATTGGGAAAAATCCCCAACAGCAATAATACGCGTCCTTTCCAGGCACAGTAGGTGGCTTTACTAATAGCTCCATCCCAGTAAAAGCCCTCTCACAGCCCTGACACTTCAAGCAACACCCTTCATAAACCCTTCCGTATTCATACAGGTTGTAACAGTACGGACAAACCGTCCAAAATGTAGCCGTCTTTGCCCCTCTCCCGCCACTTCCCAAATTACTCTTCCTACCCGAACCCGAACCAGCAACTGGGCCGCGGGCAGGCCGAGGTGATGGATTTTGAGCTCTGTTACTCCGCCGGACCGGTAATTTCTGGGAAGAATCAGCCTGATTCCGGTCCGGCTGGGTTGCAGGGGAGCTCCGAGGATGCTGCTGCGGTTGTAAATCCTTCTGAGGGACGAGATCTACTTTCGTGAAGACCGAGAAATCGTTGTCGAATTTCGATTTCCGGGTCGAATCGGAAAGGACGTTCCATGCATCGGCGACGAGTCGGAAAGCGTTGTCCGCGAAGGGGAATTTGTTCTTGTCTGGGTGAAGAAGCAGGGCCAATTTGCGGTACTGCTTTTTGATAACTTCCGGGTCATCGGAGCGCTGGGTGATCTGGAGAATGGAGTACCAATCGTTTTGTTGGCCGATACGCTTATCGGAAGCTAAGAGGACGTCGGCGACGGCTAAGATCTGATCGCAACCGTCCAGCAACGGCTCCGTTTCTTGAGCCAGGACGGCGAATTCTTTGCAGCCGGCGAAATCTTTGTTCCGGAGAAGCTTCTCGGCGATTCCCAGGAGGCGCTCGGCTTCGGCCCTGGTGGTGGTGGTATGGTGCTCCATTTTTTCCGATCTTTTCTGTGTCCGAAACAGAGCAGTGTGAGTGTGAAATGGAGCTAATAAGTTAATTTGGACAGAAACGAACTTATACGGGTCCGGGTTTGGGTTGGATTAGTGGAAATGGAGCGGATTTAGAAATTCCTGCGTGTATTTGCCTTAGTCATATGGGAATACCTGAGTAATGAATGATATTACCACGACATAAACAATCATTTATTTCTTTTTTTTCACATAAAAAAGGAAAAAAATGTTTGATATTTTAAATCCTTTTTAGAAGGAAAGTAAAAGACACAAACAAAGAATTTGTGATCACCCAAATAATCGAACAAATATCGCGTATCATCTCTCGAGAATTGTGATCTGTAAACGAACAGAATTAATTGTGTCGATTCGGATAATATGTAAATTGACAGTTAAGAATATTGCATGCATTGAATAATCGATGATATACTAACGTAAATTACTGACATTTGTAAAAGAAAAGTTAATATATAGGCAACGTTATATTTCAAAAAGTAAAAAATATACCATACCGACAGTTAAGATTAGTTAATCGTCAAAATACTGACGTAATATAGGGATATTTGTAAAAAGAAAAGTTAATATACACTATATTTCAAAAATCTAAAATCTACAATACCGACAATTAAGAATTAGTTAATCGTCGAGATACTAACAGAAATTGACATTTGTAAAAGAAAGATTAATTTATGTCGACAACAGAGCCGGCTCTAGGGGGAGACTCCTAAACTTAGGGCTTTAGGCTTCATATCAGTTAGGGCCTCATGTTTTAGAATTTTTTTTTATTATAATTGTTTTCTTAAATTATTTTATAATAATTATTGAAAAGATAATTAAAAAAACTATTTTGACTTGCGATGTATGTTATATTTTCATTATCTCATAAAATTATTTGTATCAAAGTTTAAAAATATTTTAATGAAAATTTTATTTATATACGTCCGATTACTGAAAGGCCCCAAATTAAAATTTTGCTTGAGGCTTCGATACGTGTTGAGCCTGCTCTGGTAGACAACATTATATTTCATATGTACTTTTATATTTCATTATATTTCATACTTCAAACCAAAAAAACAATTTCATATCTACTTTTAAAAACCAAAAAGGAAA